TCCCGGACCGGGGCACGAACCCGTGTCCCCTGCATTGGCAGGCGGACTCTCAACCACTGCGCCACCAGGGAAGCCCAAATATCTATCTCTTAAAAGTATTTATTAGAAAGTGACTCAGCCCTTGCAGTGTTGTTTTGGGAGGTCACCACTCTTTTTTTTTTTTGGCTGCGTTGGGTCTTCATTGCTGTGCACGGGGGCTACTCTTCGTTGCGGTGCGCGGGCTTATTGCGGTGGCTTCTCTTGTTGCAGAGCATGGGCTCTAGGAGCGCAGACTTCAGTAGTTGTGGCACGTGGGCTCAGTAGTTGTGGCTCGTGGGCCCTAGAGCGCGGGCTCAGTAGTTTTGGCACACGCGTTTAGTTGCTCCGCGGCATGTGGGATCTTTCTGGGCCAGGGCTCGAACCCCTGTCCCCTGCACTGGCAGGCGGATTCTTAACCACTGTGCCACCAGGGAAGCCCCGGGAGGTCACCACTCTTAACAGAAGTATTTGGGGCCTACAACGCCAAAATAGGTCAAAATAAGCCTTATTTTGACTCCACTCAAGTTGTGGAGTCAGGCTGCTAGGGTTCAAATCCCTGCTCTGCAACTGGCAAGCTGTGCCACCTTGGGCAAGTTATTAAACCACTCTGTGCCTCAGTTTCCTCATCTACTGAATAGGAATAATAATAATTCCAGGCTGCTAGCACATATAATTGTGAGACATTATCATTATATATTTATAACTCGTATAAGCAATTGTTTTACAAAAATAGGGTTATTATGCTATACATAGTGTTTTATAACTTGCTTTCTTTTCTCTTGCTAAGACATAATGGATATCATTCCAGGCCAGTACATAGAGTTCTATTTCATTCTTTCTAATTGACGCAAGAATTCCATTGCACACAATGTAAAATTTATTTTTCCATAACCCCCTACTGAAGGAAACTTAGGCAGTTTCCAATTTTTAGTATAATATGCTTCACAGCAATGAATATATATTTTGGGCACACGTGGGGCTATTTCTGAAGAATAGATTCCTATAAGGGGAATAGCTGGGTCAGAGTTTGTGCAGTTAAAACTTTTATAGATACTGCTAAATTGCCCTCCCTAAAAGCAGTACCAGGTTAGATTCCCACCAATACTGTGTGAAAATGCCCATTTTCCCATACTCATATCACTGTTTTTTATGCCAATCCGGAGAGGGCTGATGCCATTATTTTAATGTGCCTATCCATAATTGTGAAGGAGTCTGAACGTCTTTTCATAACTTTACTTCCCATTTTTATTTCTTCTTGTGTGAAACAACTGTATCTATCCTTTACCCATTTTTAATTGGGCTTTTTGTCACTGATTTATTTTCTTACGGATCTATAGGACCTCTTTTCATATTAAAAATCTTAATTCTTTAATACACACGAGGCAATATTTTCCAGTAGTCTACTGTATGCTTTTTAGCTAAATTCTCTTTGGTGATAGAAAGTTTTACATTATTATATAGTCAAACATAATGTTCCTTTATGAATTTTGGCCCTCATGTCTTAGCTTTTACTGGTTGGACCTTATTAAAAATATTCTTCTATATTTTACTTTAATATTTTTATAGTTTTTGTATAACATTTAATCCATCCATCTTTAATCCATCTGGAATGTTTACACGTGTGTATAACGTGTGAGGTAAGGATCTAATTTTATTTCCTTCTAAATGGAGAGCCAGTTGTCCCAACATTTACTGATTGATCCATCCTCTCCCGGCTGACTTGCGATGTCCCTTTGCGAAATGTAACTCTCTGACATTTTAAGCACCCTTGTTGTGACCGGCACGTGGCAGAACTCTGTAACTGCTGACTTTGGGAGCAAATGAAATGACAGCTAAATGAGACCAGCATATACTGTCATGCAGCAAAGCACGAATCTCAGAATTTAAAACTGGCAGTGAATATGAAGTGGCTCCCAGTATAAATGAATACCTGTGCCTTTGGTTTTTGTTTTCAAATTGGTTTTATCTCCCTGCAATAAAATTTCCACATTTTAAGTGTACAAATCAATGACTTGACAAATGTGCACGCTTGTGTAGCAAACACCCCAATCAAGATATAGAGCATTTTCATCTTTCGAGAAACTTCCTTTGTGCCCTTTGGAGTCAACCTCCCCTCCACTCCCACCCCAGGCAACCATGATACTAAACTGTGTGCGTGTAGTACATTGATAACATTTTCAGAGAAATAAGTGAACCGGCTGCAGCATGAGCCTGTTGGCTGAGGAGGAAGGCCAACTTCCCCTCCAGGAAAGGACTACTCTCTTGAGACTGACAAACACCTCCTTGGACCTGTTTGATTAAGAAGGGTGTGTAGGAGGGTAACCCAGGCTAGGTATCCCCAACTCAGGCAGGCAAGTTTGTCTTCACAGTTTTTTCCAAGTCTAGAAATCAAGTCTGCCAAATATTTACTTAATATTTTCTTTTAGATCTATGGATCTTTTAAAATTTAATTCCAAATGATTGCTTTTAAAAGAAAACACAATATCCTGTGTTAAATGACCAGGGTCACATGCCATAATTAATGAAAAGCTACTCATTAGACTAAAGTTAAAAATTAATTGCCCTGTGCCATCTAAACTCCCATTCATATTGCCTCTTATGGAAAGAGCCACAGACACAGAAGAGGTAAGTGAGTTGCAGAGGAAGAATCCAGAACTTGAGGATGGAGGCGGGTGGCTTGAGGGGCAAGAGAGCGGCTGGAGGGGACAAGCCAGCCTCAGTGTGTCTCAGGACCTAAGGGCTTCTTTTTGCACTAAAGCAGTGGAATTGCTTTAGGAACAGAACTCAGTCCACATCCCCCGTCCCTGCAAGCCTGTGACAGTTTCTTAGCTCACAGGTTCTGAGACCTTCCATCCATAAAAGGAAACATGTATTTGAGGGGTCAAAGAGAAAATACCTTTGGAGTCAGAGAGACTGGGATCTATTTGTAGTTAGTTATGTGTCCTTGGGGAAGAGAATAACCTTTCTGAGCTTCAATTTCCCCACCTGTAAAATGGCCATAATAGTAGTACCTCACTGGAAGGACTGAATCTGCAGGGGTTTGCAAAGCACACCGCTGGGCAGAGCTGGCTCTCTGTAAATGAGAAGCAGCTGTTTTATTTCCCCTAGGATCTTGGAGGATGCAAACCACCGATATCATCAGCCTTTGCCTGAGTGATGAAGTGGTTAATGAAATCAGTCCCTCCTGCAAGAAGAGGCTCTGGCAGTCCCCAGTTTTGTTAATGAATTGCTCATTAAAGTTCTACCTGTTCTGGGCTTCCCTGGTGGCGCAGTGGTTAAGAATCCGCCTGCCAATACAGTGGACACCAATTCGAGCCCTGGTCCAGGACGATCCCACATGCCGCGGAGCAACTAAGCCTGTGTGCCACAACTACTGAGCCTGCGCTCTAGAGCCCGCGAACTGCAACTAATGAAGCCTGCGCACCTGGAGCCCGTGCTCCGCAATGATGTGTAGCCCCGGTTCGCAGCAACCAGAGAAAGCCTGCACACAGCAATGAAGACCCAACGCAGCCAAAAATAAATAAATACATTTATTTTTTAAAAGAAGTTCTTCTTACTTTGCTGATGGGCACAATTAACCGCCTGCGGGTTGGTGGCCCTAACTAAATGACAACTAATTTGGGGGTTGGCCTGGAGGCAGGATATGGGTGTGTGGGAGCCCTGGTCAAGGAGTGGGGCTGCGACACCTGCTCTGGAACCACCACTGCCAAGGCCTCTTCCGAGGTCTGGCTCCCTCTGGGCATGGAGGTCTGGGGCCGGGGCCTGGGAGCTGCCTCTAGCCCCTGAGGCCTGGCAGGAGGGGGCCTTGGTGAGTGGGAATTCCTTTTTGCACTGACAGCTGTGTCAGGCCCTGGGTGACAGTGTCAGGTAGTCCTCCCGGCCCTGCCATGTTGGTTCTGCTGCTCTCCCCATGCACAGGTGAGGGGCCCTGAAGCTCAGAGAGGTCAGACGATAGGTGGTCAGGGCAGTAGTGCCCCTGCTCAGGCTCAGTGGTGCCTTTCCCCTGTGGTGGGGCAGGTGGAGACCCTAGTGTCCACACTAGGAGGGACAGTCACACCTCTGCCTGATGCGCAGGTCATGGGGGGCCCTTGAGACTTATCTACGCTGTCTCTGGTCCCATTTCATTGACAGGGGACTGAGGCCCAGAGTGGGGCGGGGACTGGCTTGAAACATACAGTCAGAAGCTAGAGCCTAGGTGTCCCGCCTCAGCTCAGGGAAGACAAGTCTGAGTAGGGCTCAGCGTGCCTGCCTGGGGCCCCCCAGCCAGAGGGCTGCTGCGAATTCTCACCCCTCGCTGTTATCCACCCCTCCCCCTGTGAGAAGCCACTTACCCAAGACTGTGGCTGGGTTACACCTTCCTAAGCGCTGCTACTGGTGGTAGAGGCAGCTGGTTTGAAGCTGCGAGTTCTCAAGCTTCTGGGTTTCCGGCAGGCAGCTTCAACTCATCATCCAGCACACACCCTCCCAGCTCTTTTGGGTCCTCGAGTCACCTTGGCAACTGCAACCCCCAAATCTCCCAGTACAAACCTTGGAGCTTGGTCCGAACACCCTCACCAATGGGGAAACCGAGGCACAGAGAGGGAACAGACCAGGCCACAATCACACAGCGGTGGCAGAGCTGGGGCTAGAACCCTGGAGTGCCCCTTTGCAGATTAGGGAGCCGGTGGCCTTCTGGGCGGCTTTTGTGGAGTCCATGCCCTCTCTGGGTCTTAGTTTCTCATATCTAAAATGAAGGGTTTCATGAGATTAAAAGAGTAAATGCAATAGTAATATTCTCTCTGTTATTTCAGTTGGCCTAGAGAGGTATGTGAGACACTTTTTATCATCCCATTTTTAAAAAGATTTTATAGTGCCTATTATGTTGCAGGCACTCTCTCAAGGGCATTACAGTTATTAACTAGTTTATTCTCCTATCAATGCTATAAGCTAGTTACTATTATGACTGTCCCATATTGCAGATCTGTCAACTCAGGCTGGGAGAGGTTAGGTGTAGCTTCCTGGGGTTGCATAACTCATATGTGAGGAAGCTGGGATTTCTGCCTAGTCATTGCTGCAGTCAGCCCACAGCACTGTGCCCATTTTACCAGCCATCCACGGAGGAGGAGGCAAGAGGTCCTTACAGCAGCAATTTGGGGACAGGTGGACACAGGTGAGGTCACTGGGAGATGTGCCACGAGCTGGGGAGTCGGGCTCCACTTTCCTGCCTCCCCAAGGAAGGGAAGGCATCTGATCTTTCCTTGAGTTCTGCCGGTCGTATCTAACTCACTTCTGCTCACACCATCTCAGAGGACACAGCATCCTGGCAATGGTACACCAAAGTGGTGACAAGTTGTAGGCTGGATATATGTAGAGACTGGCATTATAAAGAGAAGACTTTCTGGTGGCACAGTGGTTAAGAATCCGCCTCCCAGTGCATGGGACATGGGTTTGAGCCCTGGTCTGGGAAGATCCCACAGGCCGTGGAGCAACTAAGCCCGTGCGCCACAACTACTGAGCCTGTGCTCTAGAGCCCATGAGCCACAACTTCTGAGCCCGTGCGCCACAAATACTGAGCCCAAGTGCCGCGACTACTGAAGCCCGCGCACTCCAGGGCCTGCATGCTGCAACTACTGAAGCCCACGCACCTAGAGCCATGCTCTGCAAAAACAGAAGTCCCCTCAATGAGAAGCCCGCACACCGCAACAAAGAGTATCCTCCGCTCGCCACAACTAGAGAAAGCCTGCATGCAGCAATGAAGACCCAATGCAGCCAAAAATTTAAAAAAAAATTTTTTTTAAATAAAGAGAAGACTTTCCTTTATGCAAATGTCCCCTCAGACCCTCAGACCCAGTGCATCTAAAACTGATATTAAGATTTTTGTTTTCAGTGATGGCAGATTTCCTTTACCCTCTGAACATGGTTTAAAATGCTGAGTAAAATATTTTTTTAAATTGCAGAGCTAAAAAGATCACGGGGAAGCAGCAGGCTAAAACGGAGGAGAAAATATAACCCCAGAGAGGTAAGCAAAGTAACAGAACCACCAAAGCCACTTCCGTATGAAGGGTATTGACAGATGTTACCCACTTGGGCTTAGATCTGGGAGCTTTCAGGGTAAGCAGGACAGAAGTCAAGGCCAAAGGCCAGTCAAGGGAGGTGAGTCTTAAAGCAGACCCTTCCCATGTAGGTTGGGAACCCCTCCTCGGGAAAAGGGTAAACCAGAACTAAATCATGCCCCTCCCATTGGCCCCAGAAAGCAATTTGGAATTGAGAAGAGCAGAAGCAAAGGAGCAGGGGAAGAAGCCCATTCTGAGAACTATAGCCATAGACTGACACGCACGCACTTTGCCACTCCAGGTACAATAGCCAGGGGCAGACAGGGAACCTCAAGCTATGAACTCGGTTGGAAATTTTTCCACCTTAAGCGTCACAACTGCCTATCAGAAACAAATAAAAGAAGGGGGAGGGGATTGGGGGAGGGATGGAGTGGGAGGTTGGGGTTAGCAGATGTAAGCTATTATATATAGAATGGATAAACAACAAGATCCTACTGTAGAGTACAGAGAACTATATTCAATATCCTATGATAAACCATAATGGAAAAGAATTTTTAAAAAAGAAGGTATACATATGTATAACTGAATCACTTTGCTATACAGCAGAAATTAACTCAACATTGTAAATCAACTATACTTCAATTTAAAAATTTTTATTAATATAAAAAAAAGAAACAGATTGCAGTGTTGAGCGTAGCACTCGTGCACATGGTCTGCTGAGCTGAGGTGTTGGGCACAGCCGTTTCACACTAGGAACTCTGGTCTGAAGAGCTGGGTGCACTTCGAATGAAACTAGACAAGCGCAAAGGGAAAGAAAAAAGTGCTTTATGTACATTCTGTCAATGAATCCTCTCAACATCTCTGCAAGAACCAAGATGGCGGAGTAGAAGGACATGCTCTCACTCCCTCTTGTGAGAACACCAGAATCACAACTAGCTGCTGGACAATCATTGACAGGAAGACACTGGAACTCACCAAAAAAGATACGGCACATCCAAAGACAAAGGAGAAGCCACAATGAGATGGTAAAAGGGGCGCAGTCACAGTAAAATCAAATCCCATAACTGCTGGGTGAGTGACTCACAGACCAGAGAACACTTATACCACAGAAGTCCACCCACTGGAGTGAAGATTCTGAGCCCCACGTCAGGCTTCCCAACCTGGGGGTCTGGCAATGGGAGGAGGAATTCCTAGAGAATCAGACTTTGAAGCCTAGTGGGATTTGATTGCAGGACTTGGACAGGACTGGGGGAAACAGAGGTTCCACTCTTGGAGGGCACACACAAAGTAGTGTGTGCATCAGGACACAGGGGAAGGAACAGTGACCCCAGGGGAGACTGAACCATACCTACCTGCTAGTGTTGGAGGGTCTCCTGCAGAGGCGGGGGGTGGCTGTGGCTCACCACGGGAACAAGAACAGTGACAGCAGAAGTTCTGGGAAGTACTCCTTAGCATGAGCCCTCCCAGAGTCTGTCATTAGCCCCACCAAAAAGCCCAGGTAGGCTCCAGTGTTGGGTTGCCTCAGGCCAAACAACCAACAGGGAGGGAACCCAGCCCCACCCATCAACAGTCAAGTGGATTAAAGTTTTACTGAGCTCTACCCACCAGAGCAACAGTCAGCTCTACCCACCACCAGTCCCTCCCATCAGGAAGCTGGCACAAGCCTCTTAGATAGCCTTATCCACGAGAGGGCAGACAGCAGAAGCAAGAAGAACTACAATCCTGCAGCGTGTGGAACAAAAACCACATTCACAGAAAGATAGACAAGGTGAAAAGGCAGAGGGCTATGTACCAGATGAAGGAACAAGATAAAACTCCAGAAAAACAACTAAATGAAGTGGAGATAGGCGACCTTCCAGAAAAAGAATTCAGAATAATGATAGTGAAGATGATCCATGACCTCGGAAAAAGAATGGAGGCAAAGATCGAGAAGAGGCAAGAAATGTTTAACAAAGATCTGAAAGATTAAAGAACAAACAGACAAAGACGAACATTACAATAACTGAAATGAAAACCACACTAGAAGGAATCAATAACATAATAACTGAGGTAGAAGAACAGATAAATGACCTGGAAGACAGAATGGTAGAATTCACTGCTGCGGAACAGAATAAAGAAAAAAGAATGAAAAGAAATGAAGACAGCCTAAGAGACCTCTGGGACAACATTAAACGCAACAACATTGATATTATAAGGGTCCCAGAAGGAGAAGAGAGAGAGAAAGTGCCCGAGAAAATATTTGAAGAGATTATAGTTGAAAACTTCCCTAACATGGGAAAGGAAATAGCCACCCAAGTCCAGGAAGCGCAACAAGTCCCATACAGGATAAACCCAAGGAGAAACATGCTGAGACACATAGTGATCAAATTGGCAAAAATTAAAGGCAAAGAAGAATTATGAAAGCAACAAGGGAAAAACGACAAATAACATACAAGGGAACTCCCATAAGGTTAACACCTGATTTCTCAGCAGAAACTCTACAAGCCAGAAGGGAGTGGCATGATAAAGTGATGAAAGGGAAAAACCTACAACCAAGATTACTCTACCCCGCAAGGATCTCATTCAGATTCAATGGAGAAATCAAAAGCTTTACAGACAAGCAAAAGCTAAGAGAATTCAGCACCACCAAACCAGCTCTACAACAAATGCTAAAGGAACTTCTCTAAGTGAGAAACACAAGAGAAGAAAAGGACCTACAAAAACAAACCCAAAACAATTAAGAAAATGGTAATAGGAACATACATATCGATAATTACCTTAAACGTGAATGGATTAAATGCTTCAACCAAAAGACACAGGCTTGCTGAATGGATACAAAAACAAAACCCATATATATGCTGTCTACAAGAGACCCACTTCAGACCCATAGACACATACAGACCGAAAGTGAGGGGGTGGAAAAAGATATTCCATGCAAATGGAAATCAAAAGAAAGTTGGAGTAGTAATACTCATATCAGATAAAATAGACTTTAAAATAAAGAATGTTACAAGAGACAAGGAAGGACACTACATAATGATCAAGGGATCAATCCAAGAAGAAGATATAACAATTATAAATATATATGCACCCAACATAGAGCACCTCAATACATAAGGCAACTGCTAACAGCTATGAAAGAGGAAATTGACAGTAACACAATAATAGTGGGGGACTTTAACACCTCACTTACACCAATGGACAGATCATCCAAAATGAAAATAAATAAAGAAACAGAAGCTTTAAATGACACAATAGACCAGATAGATTTAATTGATATTTATAGGACATTCCATTCAAAAACAGCAGATTACACTTTCTTCTCAAGTGCACACAGAACATTCTCCAGGATAGATCACATCTTGGATCACAAATCAAGCCTCAGTAAATTTAAGAAAATTGAAATCATATCAACCATCTTTTCTGACCACAATGCTATGAGATTAGAAATCAATTACAGGGAAAAAAATGTAAAAAACACAAACACATGGAGGCTAAAGAATACATTACTAAATAACCAAGAGATCACTGAAGAAATCAAAGAGGAAATAAAAAAATACGTAGAGAAAAATGACAATGAAAACACGACAATCCAAAACCTATGGGATGCAGCAAAAGCAGTTCTAAGAAGGAAGTATATAGCTATACAAGCCTACCTCAAGAAAAAAGAAAAATCTCAAATAAACAATCTAACCTTACACCTAAAGGAACTAGAGAAAGAACTAAAAAAAACCCAAAGCTAGCAGAAGGAAAGAAATCATAAAGATCAGAGCAGAAATAAATGAAATAGAAACAAAGAAAACAATAGCAAAGATCAATAAAACTAAAAGCTGGTTCTTTGAGAAGATAAACAAAATTGATAAACCATTAGCCAGACTCATCAAGAAAAAGAGAGAGAGGACTCAAATCAATAAAATTAGAAATGAAAAAGGAGAAGTTACAACAGACACCACAGAAATACAAAGCATCCTAAGAGACTACTACAAGCAACTCTATGCCAATAAAATGGACAACCTGGAAGAAATGGACAAATTCTTAGAAAGGTATAACCTTCCAAGACTGAACCAGGAAGAAATAGAAAATATGAACAGACCAATCACAAGCACTGAAATTGAAACTGTGATTAAAAATCTTCCAACAAACAAAAGTCCAGGACCAGATGGCTCCACAGGTGAATTCTATCAAATATTGAGAAAAGATCTAACACCCATCCTTCTCAAACTCTTCCAAAAAATTGCAGAGGAAGGAACACTCCCAAACTCATTCTATGAGGCCAACATCACCCTGATACCAAAACCAGACAAAGATACGACAAAAAAAGAAAATTACAGATCAATATCACTGATGAATATAGATGCAAAAATCCTCAACAAAATACTAGCAAACAGAATCTAACAACACATTAGAAGAATCATACACCATGCTCAAGTGGGATTTATCCCAAGGATGCAAGGTTTCTTCAATATACACAAATCAATCAATGTGATACACCATATTAACAAATTGAAGAAAAAAAAACATATGATCACCTCAATAGATGCAGAAAAAGCTTTTGACAAAATTCAACACTGATTTATGATAAAAACTCTCCAGAAAGTGAGCATAGAGGGAACCTACCTCAACATAATAAAGGCCATATACGACAAACCCACAGCAAACATCATTCTCTCAATGGTGAAAAACTGAAAGCTTTTCCTCTAAGATCAGGAAAAAGACAAGGATGTCCACTCTCACCACTATTACTCAACATAGTTTTGGAAGTCCTAGCCACGGCAATCAGAGAAGAAAAAGAAATAAAAGGAATACAAATTGGAAAAGAAGAAGTAAAACTGTCACTGTTTGCAGGTGACATGATACTATACATAGAGAATCCTAAAGATGCCACCAGAAAACTACTAGAGATAATCAATGAATTTGATAAAGTTGCAGGATACAAAATTAATGCACAGAAATCTCTTGCATTCCTATACACTAATGATGAAAAATC